AATGAAACATTGAGAATAATCTAATTCATTTTCTTTTGCTTGTCTCTTTTGGTTGCATTACCAATGGAGCTAAAAGAGTCATTATTGACAGTGCTTTAGTTTTGAGCACAGAATGGACTGAATCAAAATGACACATTAATATTCCCTTGCTTCTTTTCTAATGAAGCTTCCGGCCCTAAATGCAGAAAAGCACCTAGGGTCTAATGGAAATAGCCTCTGTTTTTACAGGCATCTTGACCCCCTAGACCCCAACAGAGTTGGGATTTTAGTGGGCTGTTATTGTTGTTGCTTGTCAATTTTCTTTGTAAGGTCTCCCCCTATCTTGAAATATTGACTGAAAGTCTGGAATTCAAAATATTTGGCATAAATCCGTTCGTTCTTTATATTGATTGAGTCTGGATTTCAAAATATTGGGTTTTTTGTGCAATCATAAATTATAATTTTCCTTATCTGTGCAGATCAAGAGGAAACTCCCCAAAGTTAATAAGGCATTTGCGTCTCAACTTCTTGATAATGAAGAAGCTGAAAAAGCAAAGGATGTTGATGGCACTGATGCCAAAAAATCATCAAAGAAGAAGAAGGGACCAACCAGCAGTGAATTCTTTGAAGATAAACGGTTTTCAGCTATGTTTGAAAATAAGGTAGTATATCGTTCTCCAAGTTGCATTTGAAAAGAAAACTGAAATATTAGAGGGATAAACAAGAATCTTTTACTTAATTTGTACTATGTATTTGAAATGAAAATGGCTCACAACACTTCTCTGTCTTTGAAACAGATTCTAATCATTAACTTTTCACTTTTCAACACTTTTCTTAAACTATTTGAAAGTCAAATAAAGAAGTTTTTATGGGACGTAGGGAGTATATCGTGTATTATCTTCCTGATCAAAACCTTACATCTAATTTTCCCAAACAGGATTTTGAAATTGATGAACAATCTCAAGAGTACCGAGCATTGCACCCTGTTGCATCTGCAAAGCAAGCTTCTTTGTTGGAGGAACATTTCATGCCTGTTATGGAAGGTGAGGAGGAGCCAAGTGACTCTGATGAACATGCAGCTGCTTCATCTTCTGATGATGAACACGAGAATAGAAAGAAAGTTCCAAGGTGAGATTTTTATTTTTATTTTTGCATTGCATGAAACACCTACAGTAAAAAATCAAAAGTGTTGCTTTTGCTTAGGAATGCATATTTTCAAATGTTTCTCCGTTTAAAAAAAAAGCTCCTTGTTTCCTTTTTTGGTTTTTCCAAAAAAAGATTCATATTTCTATCTGTGTGTTTTTGTGTTGCTTTCTCTTTTATGCCCTTCACTTTATTATCCACTAGATACCCACTACTCATTTACCCCACCCACTTGGAATGTGCCAAGTCAACTGGGGAGTCTTTTTTTTGGGATGGAGGGAGTATTTGTTGTTTTTGGTTCTTCTTGAGTAGTGTACTATTTTATGTATATCCCCCTTAAATTGAATTTACTAAGTGAAATTCCCCTTCTTTTTGAGGATCTAGACTGTATGCTGTGAAGGATGAGAGACATGCGGAGGCATTCTGGAACAGTAAATCTCTGGCGGAGGAGGACGCCCTACCGTTGGGAGAACGGGTGGCGGCACTGAATGCTAAAAACAATCGGGAAGGCATTGATGTGAAGGTGGGACCTGGGGGATCACGGGAAATATCTTTCACAGCCAAAAAATCCTCAAGGAAGTACAAGGATGATGATGATGCACAGCCCGCGAAGAGAAGAGGGATCCAGTCACTGAAACTGAAGCATAGCGGTCCGGCCTCTGGCTTCAGAGGCCGTGGCAGAGGAGGGGGCAGATTCGGGATGGGCAGAGGAGGGAGAGGACGAGGCGGGGGGCGTGGCCGAGGCCGACATTGAAAATTCCACACACATATATTGTAAGTTTCCCTCTATCATCACCTTTCAAATACGAGCCAATTTAATACTCTCTTCGTTTCAATATATTCGTCTAGTTTGATTTTTTTCGAGACAAATTTGAAAAACTTTAATCATCAATTACATAACCATTGCATTGTATATTACTACAATGAAGTAATTTTTTCTGCAAGATAAGTAAAATGAGATCATCTTGTACTAATATGAAATCTTTCTTTAACGGAATATGCAATCTAACATGCAGTCAAATTTTTATTTAATTGATGATCAAAAGTTATCTGGTTTGACTCAAAAACGTCAAAGAAGACGAACATTTTGGGATGAAGGTGGTTGCTGTTAACGGGAAGTGAAGTTTTTTTTAGAATCATTTTATGGTGTTTCGTTTTTACCCCTAGGTCATAGTCTCTTGTAGAAGATAAAATTCTCTTTTAACTTGTCACCAATGCATGTATCCAAACCACAAAAAAGGCTACCTGCAAAGTTTTGAGTTGTTTTTCCTTATTAAATGTTTCAATTTTCGTTATTAATACAAATTACAAGGGTGCATTTTGTTTGTTTGGGTTTCATTTGATATATAGACTATGTTTGGTACACGAAATTCAAATTATGGAATTGAAATTGAAGACTAATTCCAATTCTGCTGTTTGGTAACACAAAAATATGCGGATTTGGAACTGATAGTGCAAAAAATGAATTGGAATGAGAAAATTTAATTTCATACAAATCAATTTTAGAAAATTTCAACTCCTAATTCAATTGCAATTCCATCAATTCGGGTGTACCTAATAAACCCTTAGGGTCTGTTTGGTACAGGAAATTGATGAAATTAGAATTGAATTAGAAGTTGAACTTCTATGGAATTGATTTGGATGGAATTGAGTTTACCAATTCCAATTTATTTTTGACACTACCAATTCCAAATCTACATAATTTTGTGCTACCAAACAACAGAATTGAAATTGTTGTCATCAATTCAAATTTCATAATTTGAATTCTGTGTACCAAACAGAGCCTTAATATTTTCTGCTACGAACTCACTAGGTTTGACACTAACACTATGTTTGGTTCAAGGATTTTGGTTGGGAAAAGAAAAGAAAATAGGAGGGAAATGTTTTTTTATGTTTGGTTAGTGAGAAAAAGAAAGGAAAAGTGAGAGGAAAAGAAAAGTGGGGAGAAAATGAATTAAAAAAGGGCAAAATCATTTTCCTCCCGATTTTGGACGGAAAACGAGAGAATCCATCGCTCCCGTCTCTTAAACCTTCGCTCCCGTCTCTGCCATGTCTTCTCGCTCACCCATCTCTGAACCTAATCGTGCCTTTCATCTCTGAANTTGTTTATGTTAATTAAATTGCATGATGATGAAGAAACAAAAGATGTGTATTGGAGCAATTGAAGTGGCGCTGGAGTCATAGACATAGTAGTCAATAAAATCTTTTGGGTTCAAATTTGGATTTACATTGTTTTCTCACCAAATTTCCTTCTAACCAAACAAAAAAAGCATGAGAATACATTTTCTTCATCAATTTCCATCTTAACCAAACATAACTAGAATTTTGAGTTTCTTTCTTTTTCTTTTCTTTTCCTTCTCATTTTCATTTCTTCCTCAATTCCTTGAACCAAACATAGTGTAATAGTATATAGACAATTTTTTCTTATCATTGTTTGTGACACAAACTATTGTTTGTACGTTCTGAAATACTTGGTGTCAAACTTGATAAGTTTTTACCTTTTCTGAATTGATTTCATGTCAAAATCAATTTAGAAAACATCAATAGTTTGCAAATGCATTTGATTGTTAAATTTTCTTTAACAATATTTTTCGATCCTTATGTGATCTTTATTAGTTACTATCTACTTAATTTTTTAACTCCATCTTAAAAACAATACTTTATTTACTATTTATATGGTTAAATTTTGGTTATTTTCTGTCTATTTTCATTACATATTTGATAAAATAATATTGTCACTACTTCGTAGAATTTGTAGTATAGCTTATAAATATAAAAGTTTTATTTTATATTTAAATTTCACGCAAATTATATTTTTTAATATAAATTGAACAGAAAAAACTCATCGCTATCTTTCCAAGATAGGGGGAATAATTGTTTGGTTACTTCATCATTATCTCCACCTTATTTTATAGGAGTAGCATTAAATAACACTACATATATTATTTTAAAAAAACATAATGACAAAATGTGCATGAGCTACCTTTCCTGACGCGGCTTTCCAAAGAATGAATAAATACAATATGAAAATTGCAATGTCACGGTTCTTCTAACCTTGTAAAAATAAAAATGACCTGAGAACTTAGAGTGTTCCGTTGCTAAAATTGGTGATTTCTAATTCTCTTTTCTAATCCCAGTTCCCGTACCCACCCATGCTCTCTCCCTTTCTCTAGCAGTATACGGTCTGGCAGTAAGTATATTGTCATGGGAGAATGTTATCAACAGATCATTATAGATGCTCGAGTCATTTCTCGTGACGTATTTTTCTAAGATCAAAAGAAAATTGTAACACCATTTTTGTCATAACTCACGTGCCATCTCCACATTTGATGTCGCAATGAACTGAGCTATCATTCAAAAAAGTTCTACTTCAATTTTCTACGTGTGGCACCATACATGGTTAGAAAAATAGTCTCTGAATGATTTTTGTTTGATTCGAAAAAATAAAAATTTGTTTTCATCAGTCTCCGCCCAGTGGGATTCACCTGGGTTGTTGTTGTTGCAGTCTCCGCCCAGGCCGCCCCCCATCCCTCAAACCCCGCTCCCTTAAAATATTTTTAAATATCAACAATGGAAAATGATTTTTTGGCAAAAAAAATTCTTGCTAGATAATAAAAATGTGATCAGAAAATAATTTTCTTTCAACATCATTTTTTCCAAGAAAATAATTTTGTGGCAAAATATTTCTTCCCCAAACGAACAAACCATTGATGTATTAATTTTAGGCATTAACTAGGCCCAACAATATCTTACTCGTGTCACATTTTTTTTCATACGGAGTACATTTTTTACCCTTCACTACAATTATACACATGATGAAATTTCACATATGTATTCCTTCATGAAATGTACCAGTAACATGTTTTAATTAATTTTAATAAGTATGGAGTATATTATTGTCATGAGAAAAAAAAATCCAACCGGAAAAAGATCATTATATCATCAACACCTTAAAACCCAACCTATGTTGGGATATCCGAAATGAAATTTACAGTGTCAATAAATTGTATAAAAAAATCTCTTAACACTTGTAAGTAAACTTCTTAGTAAAAAGGAAGCACAAATTCTTGTTTATGCTATAATGATCCCACAGAAAATTCTTATTTACGTTATGATACCAATACAGGAGGAGGAGGAGGAAGAGGTAAGGATTCTTAGCTGATAATCTCACATTTGTTCACTAGAGGGCCGGCGAAAAACAACAGATTGAAGATGAGATTTGTTGAGCTTTCTCCGTCTTCTTCGGTTGCTCCCCCTGCACGCAACATAATATGCACTTTCAGAAAGTCTTTAAAAACGACATAATGGTCGTTTTTCTACATACCCAGTGCCTCCGGTTAATTTTAGACAGCTATTGAGCTTAGTTTTAGGTCACCAATCTCCATATAATTTGGAATGAGAGTGATGGTACTTGGTAGAATACACTTAGGAGTTAAGACCCCTTTGGTGAGCGGAGCTGACTATATGGGTTTTGAAATAATGAAATCTAAAATGGATGTTTTTGAAACGATCTAAAATGTTGGTTGTTAGTGGCCGGCAGCAGTGGTGGTGGGTGGTTGTTGATGGCTTCATCAAACACCTAGAAAAGGGCTTTCCGATATTTGAATTCATATTTCATGCACACACCGAACACGCCCTTAGCTTTTGATCACCACCATTCGGCTCATAAACTGGGTTGCCGGTGATGGTTAAAATACCACATGTCTATGAAGTCAATACATGCACGGGGTCGGGGGGGGTGTGGGGAGGGTGGTACTGGCAATCAAAAATTCAAACAACTACATACCAGAACTGGTTGTGCAACACAAAAGCATCTGTTGCAACACTTTTCCCATCATCATTCCTGTTCCAATGGTACAGCGCATGTGTTCTATTCTTTATCTCCAACGTAGAATGGCCATAACTGGACTCCCTAAACGCAGAATACTCAGGTTGGGGATCTCTAAATCTGCATTAGATAGTATAGTTAACCGCTAATGACAGGTGAGAGAAATATAAAATATTTCTTTTTGTAGTATTATTAGTCTTCCTAATTACCTTCCAGCTAGACCTTCCTGGTTCCCTCCATCTCCAACTGTAATATAAACCGGAGCTGATTTGTCGGGTACAGGATAAGCATCGCCACTTGATACATTATAGTGGATGTTTGATATGCGATACTGAATATATACCATGAAAAAGCATAAGAGATTCGATTAAAACCTCGTTGGATCATAGTTAATACGAAAGATAGGACATTAATGCAGATGGGAAGGGAGGGATGATTATTTAATTATTAAAATCAATGTTTTACCCACACATTTTCCGACATAAAATATAAAGGATGATGGATTAAGAAATGTAAATATAATGACTAGTTCAAAACCATTTTAGTCATATATTGTGTTATACAATATATATGGAGAATTTTAAAAAAGTTTACAAAATATTGGTCTTCCTTCATATATCTTTCCAGTTAAAACCAAACATTAAAAACTCAATTTCCTTGACATCTTTTCCCTTTTTCAAACATAAAAATAATTGATGTATGAAGATTTGAGAAACATACGGATCGCTCATAAGCATGGACGTGACCAGCAAATACCACATCAACTTTGTACTTGACAAACCACTCCTCATAGACAGCTCTCATACTTTCACCCTCCATAAAGTGCGCTTCATTGCTATTGTAGATAGGTACGTGCATGAGGACAATTAGCCAAGGAGTTTTCTCCCTGTCCACCCTTGTAAATTCTTCATTAAGCCACTTATACTGAGGTGTATATTTTACTGAAAATGGTGATACAAGAGAGGGGACATATTTAATAACTATGCAATACAGGCTTTCAATAAGAATATGATGGAAACAATAACAATTTCTGCAGCAGAGAAGAGCTAAATATGGAGAAAACTGAAAAGTCTAACAAAGGTTTTTCTTTATTCTGTCAGTTTGACCCCAAAATATCTGGAATAGCTTCCATGATGAGCTTGAAGACAATTATTTGTTGATGCATTCATGGTTTTAAAGTGCTTTGAAATGAATCAATGCGATAGGAATAACTTACCAAATGGGGAGTAGCTAGATAGAACAATTATATGAGCAGATGCCCGCCTGATGGCATACCAAAGGGGATTGCTACTTTTGGAGGCTCTGTAGGGTGTGGGGTATCTAAAGAGAAATGATCTGAAAGGAATTACTTCCCCCTGATCATATGCAATAAATGAAAGCAGTCAAAATTACAGCTTACTTTCAAAATAGATAAAGAGTAATTGTCATGTAGTTATTCTTCAAAAGGAGGTATTTTCCACTCAATGTATCAGCAGCATTGTTAACAAATCATTATACTTAGAATGACTTAAAGCAAGAAAACAAATATCAAGCTGCACAGACACAAAAGATTAGGCCCTGTTTGGTACCAAAAATGGCTTATTCACCAAATTTTTCTTATGATATGCAGAATTAGTAGCATTTTTTTATGCATTTAGCTGAAATAAATGTTACAAAACAATATTCCTTAAAAAATCAGCACATTCATGCATTCCAGTGAAAAAACTCTTACCGAACGGGCTCTAAAGTGAAACAAGACAGCAGAAAAGGTTATTAGAAGAGGTTTCATTTGATAAAGAATAAAACACCACAATTTGTTTCGTGATGCCTTCATCTAAATGAAGGAAAAAACAACTCCCAAGTCACATCTTTAATGGGACTGCTCACAGTTATTAATTTGGAAAAAATAATGGCAAAAGTGTGACGCTCATGCAGCTGAATGAATATATTTTCAAAATAGTACCATATATGGCATGTACTCTATCTCATGATTCCCAGCAGACCAAATCCATGGTTGATATGCACCACTTTTTTCAATGAAACGGCCCCATGAATCCCAACGCACTCCAACATCATGATATTGGTATCTATCTGCGTAAGAGAGATCTCCAACAAACAAGACAGTTTGCCCTCCACTCTGCATATAATGTTCAAGAGTGGAAAGAGAATTGAATGTCTGGCCCAAATCACCTAAAAAATAGCAGACAGAGGTTAGTGGATAAAGGGGAGCTAGTTGAAGAAAACTAAAAGAACACTAAAAAACATGTAAACGAAAAAGTAATGGCAAAGGGAAGTTGCATAAAAGGAGCAAACAGACATGCACAAGCAACAAACTAAGACAACTAGTCCTACATAAGGGTAGAGCCCTACCCAAAAGCTTACCCACCCTAATCCTAGATCTCCATACGCTCCTATCAAAGGTCATATCCTTGATAAGATCCTGAAGTCGTATGTCATGTCTAATCACCTCTTTCCAACTCGTCATAGTTCGACCTCTACCCGTCCTTACATCCCCTAACTCAAGCCTCTAGCACCTCCTCACTAGAGCATCCGTACTCCTCCTCAGCACATGCCCAGCCATCGTACTCTTGCTCCATGCATCTTATCCTCCACGGAGACTACTCCTACCTTCCCTCGAATAACATCGTACCGGACCCTATCCATCCTTATATAATCATACACCCATCTCATTATCCTCATCTCTGCCACTTGGAGCTTCTAAATGTGAGTGTTCTTCACCGTCCAACACGCAGCTCCATAAAACATAGCCAGTTGGGCCACTACCTAGTAAAAGTTTAGGTCTCTTGATATCCTCATGTAGCATAGGACACCTGAAGCAAGCTTCCATTGCATCCAAGTGGTTCCAATATCATCAAAAGCATTCCCATCTATCTCCCCACTAGCTTGAATGATGATGGATCTAGGTACCAGAACGTGTCCCTTTTAGATACTGGATGTGTATCAATCTTCACTTCCACTTCTGACACAATCATCAAACCACTAAAGCAACATTTCACGTACTCGGTTTTAGTCCTACTCACTTTGAAAGCTTTGGATTCCCAGCCCCGCCAACATTCACTATGCTATGAAGGTAAGACTTCCATCAGTTCCTTACCTCTACTGCATCTACCAAAACCATGCCATCTTCACCTTTAATGCACCTCACCCGGTCCAGATTTCATGCTTTCCTATCTCGTGCCTTCGCAAGCAAAAACATTCTCTTCTATTCTGCTCTTTTCTAGGTCCTTATAGGGACGTTCAAAACCTGCATTCTTTGTCGCCAAAACCGCTAACTTAGCTTCCTCTCTGGCAATCATATACTCCACTTGGATCGACCTCCTCTCCTCCTTACACTACTCCCCATGAGCCTTTTATAGGCCGCTTTCTTGGCTTCAATTTTCTTTTGAACATCTCCATTCCACTACTAGTCCCTTGTATACAGGTTTACACTACCCTTGACAACACCTAACACTTCCTGTGCAGCTTCTCAGATGCAGTTATCTGTCTTAGACCACATGGCAACAATGGCATCGGCTTCCCCACTAGTCACTCAAGCACCCTGCTCTCGAACCTTAGCAACCAACTCTAGATCTTCTCTTTATCCAAGTTGTTCCATCGAATACGTGGCGGACCACTAGAGGTACACCTCTTCCTCTCCCACTTGATTGAAACACAACAACAACAACAACAACCCAGTAGAATCCCACAAAATTAGGGACTTGATTGAAACAAAAAGAAAATAATAACATAAAAAATTCTGCCAAGTAAAACCGACCTATAATACCAAATTTGTAAGATGCATCTGGATCAATTTTTGGAGGTGTCACAAACCAGAACTTCCTTGAAGAATCACCTTGTCCTACCTCATAGTAATACTTTCTGTCATACTTAAACAAAAAAAGAGTATTTCATCAGTCATAAGTGAAAAGAGAAAGCTTAATAAACAAATTGATAGAAAATGGCAGCACAATAAGAGCAATCATGCTGACATGACCAAGCATGAGTTAATATTTAGTAAAAACATGCTCCTAAGTCCTAAAGTACTTAACAAAGCCAATCTGTCTCCATTACCTTTAAATTAGTATGATATCAATATGAGGTTTGATGTGTTGAATAAATAAATCGACACAAAATTTCACAAATGAAACAAATGATAACACAATGCCTGCTTGTGTTATCACAAATAAGTATAAAAACATAAATGTCATGCTACTGTTAACACATAGATAAGAATTTTAAAAAATATTAAACAATGCATGACACTTTTACTCAACCAAATAATGTAAACAAATAAAGAAAAACTGCAGTAGATTGGAGTACATGTCTGCAAATCACATCAAAGTAGTATCATATTAACCATTTATATCACGAGTATTCCTGGTGATCCATCCAGCTGTAAATTATTTAGACAGTTTTCAATTGTAATTTGTAACACTGATTGCTCGATTACCTCAAGGTCACCGACAAGGCATTGATGTATAAAGCCAGACTTGTAAGTGTAAAATGTGTAGTTTGTAAATGTTCCCTCTGCGGTAAAATCATATTTCTCCTCAGATAATCCGTAGCGTACTTGGCTTGACCCTGGTTCATCAAAAGTCACCCAGGAGATTATGACAGCCTTCCCATCATAGTCACCCTGTGTAATATGAATCTACAACAGAAAAATTCGAGTATTGAGAATCTTACAAAAACAATAAAGAGTTAATTATTTGTTTTTGTTTGAAATACAACTACAATTTTGAAACATCACATTTTCAAAGTAGCTCCCTAAAGCAATTAATCTGCAATAGATTGACTACGAGTGAAATATAGAGGGTTCAGCAGATCTGTCTTAAGCAATCAAGAGTTCCAAAGAACTTTTAAATTTTATGAAACATTAAGCACAACAATCAGGGATGGATCTACACAATGCCCATCCATACTTGTGCTAAACCAAGAGATGTTAAATGATTGTAATAAAATAAAGCACAAAATGCCACATAAGCTAGTAAATCGTTCCTTATCTTATATTTAAATTCAACACAAACTAGAGTTGGACTTTAAAATTTTACAAAACCCTAGGGTGTGCTATGCTGCACAGATTCATAAAGTGTACTTTCTCGTCCACGAAATACTCTCGCTTGGATACTCAGGGATGTCCCAATTTCCAAATCTTTTTTAACATTTAGATAAATTGGTTTGTGTGTGTCAATCCATGTCCCATTTGAGTACCTGCCCCTGTCTCCGTACAACAGTGTGTGTGTGCACGTGTGTGTGTGTGTGTGTGTATTGGCTAAATGCAAAAAAAACTGAAACTAGTATGAAATCCTGGAGAAAATATTTTGCTCCAAAATAAACTAGAAAACTATCAGCAAAGTTCTTTTCCTAACTGTGTTCAACACTTATAAAGTAAAAACTTTAGCAATGTTCTTTTCCGCAACTTCAATTCCTACAAAATGCAGAGCAATCTCTCATCGAGGCCACTTTATTCCACTCATATCATATACACATACATAAACATTGTCCAGGGTTTGGTCAAATTGCAGAAGAGACACAACAAGCAATCGCAAACTTACTTGTTGTGGTGCATTATAACCTTCAGGGACTGCAAATTCCTTATTGTCAAGTGGAATATCCACAGATGGCCACTCAAAGCGAATATATGTGCTTGTAACAGTGGAACTTCCGTTTTCTATGAACCTCGAAAAAAGAGGCAATAAGAGCAAGAGGTGAAGAAACATTCTGCCTCTATAACTTCCAAGCCCCAGTCTATCAATTAATCAACTTCAAATATGCATAGGAAAACACACTGCAGCCATGAAGAAGAACAATTTGTTAACTAACTAGTAGAATCCTTCCATTAAACATTACCAACCTAAAAATATTACAATATCATGTAGGTTATTCTGTGATGGTTGAATAGAGAATAAATATTCAGATTACGAACAAATATTACGGGTATACCATTCACATATTTTATGAAATAGTTCACTCATTCTTAAGAAAATGATGATTGATTGCATAGTATTCCCAAATTAGTATTTACAAAAAGTACAAAGCCGACATTGTAGTCAAGTACATACTGAATAATTCATTAATCGATAATTATTGATAGAAGTTAGGATTGGGGTAGGGATCACTGGAGTGGGCCATAAGACACTTGGGTTGAACCACATTAAAAGATTGAATCCAATTGATTACTTGATTCAACTCAAGAGCTTATAAACCGATTTGTTTCATCTTCAAGTTCCGATGTGGATACTCTTTAACAGTTATAAATGATAATCAAACTTCATAACCAAAACTTGTCATGCAAAAATGCACTTATGTTCATCCAAAGTGTGCTCTTCTGCGAAAGAATCACCCCATCATCAACAACAAGCCAACAACAACAAAAACAGCCAAACCGAACTCCCAAATCACTAGGATAGACCACCTAAACCAATACATAATCCCATAAAACTTCCAATCAATGCATCTTAGATTCATTAACAGTAACAACCAAATGAAGTCACAGCCTGCTTGAAATCACTGCAGTTAAACAAAACGAAAGAGGTCACTCAATCAGACGCTTGCGATTCACAAATTGCACATGATTCTAGCTCATTCAAGCCAACAATCCAGATACGAAGCATACCAAAGGATCAACCACCGATTACTCAAAAAGGCCACAAATCACGAAGCATGACTGAAGTGAAATTAACACAACACAGATCAAAACAAGCCGGTGAATCGCGTGAATATCATCTAACCATATCTGAGCTTGAAATCCGAGACAGAATAAGATGAGCGAAAATGGAGGCAGACGGAGAGAGCGCGGGGATGAATGAGTGCATACCTGAAATGGCGAGATCCGATGGGGGGCTGAAAGATGGAGTCTGGAAGAGATAAGATCAGTTGTTTTAAGATCTGGTAGTGACAGACTGAGAGTAAATTTTACTGAGGATTTAGGAATGGAGGGAACGATGGGTGGATTTAACCGAATTTCTGTTGCTATTTAATGAGTTTTTGGAAATAAGTCTCCTTTTCAAACAATTTCCCCTGTTAAATTGATTTTACTTTTTTATATATTTTTATGGATCATTTGATTAAATAAAATAATTTTATCACTGCGTATTTTATATGATTTTTTATGTAGTTTTTTACTCCGTAATAAACAATTTCTTTTTTTTAAATTTTATAGCAATGTTTACGTAGTGTGTTGTAGAGGTTGTTTTGTAGTGTGTTGTATTTGTTGGGAATCTTTTGCTATTGTTTGTACTTGTTGCTTGTACTTGGTGCCTTATCTGTGTTATACTGTGTTCTCTTCCATATTTTTGTGCAGGTGGAGCCGGGGGTCTCTTGGAAACAGCCTCCCTACTTCCGAGTAGGGGCAAGGTCTGCGTACACACACCCTCCCCAGACCCTACTGTTGTGGGATTCAACTGGATTGTTGTTGTTTGTATAGCAATGTTTACGTATACTGATGTTTATGTATACTGATTTGAAAATAGCTTCATTCAAACATCGTAAACCAGAACTTCTTCCCTGGCTAGTGGTATCAAGCTCACAGTTTGATTTACCGTGCAATCAAATACAGAGTATTTGACAAAAAAAGTATTTATAGAATGAAAAATAGCAATGCATATATTATTATTATTATTATTGACAAAGCATAACGATATTATGAGCAAAGAAATGTTTGATAATATTCAATATTCCCTAAAAAACCAAAAGAAACTCATTCTGCTTAGATTAAAATACACGAGAAAAAGCGAAAACTTGTCATCAAGTTAACCTTAACACTGCCCCTTCATCATTTGCGTAATCTCGCGATTTACATTATACTCTACAACCACAAAGTTGGCCGGGGTGGGGTGGGTTCACTCTTGTAGTGCGGGAACCGGGAATTATAATAATAAAGGGAATAAGGATCTAATATACCACAAAGGATCATGTTACAATCACATGGGAGATGACACCATCTGTGTTTCATCAACAACGATTTGTCAAGAAAAAATCTTGAGGAACCCCAAGTTGCACCCCACTTTTGACCCTAATGCCTTCAGAGACATTACAGACAAAGAACAATGTTTGTCAGTTTGATGTCTAAGGCATTGGAGTCAAAAGTGGGGTGTAACTTGGGGTCCCTCTAGCATGACTCATTTCTCAGTGAGAATGATTGTCTCTGCGTGATAGTTTCTAATGGTGTGTCATCCCTGGGGTTAAAGTAGTATTTTCAGTACCACAAGTTGTATCACTTTATAGAGGAGACTCAATTTCTGGGGTTTCTGTGGTCTTATGGTCTTTTAATACCATGTTTCTCAATAGGCCTCCAGCAATTGAGAGAAGGGCAATGAGAGCTATCTGCATGTGTTCACAGCTGCTTGTCTTGATAGAAACCTGCCCCATTTTCTGGCTGCTCAGATTAGCACTCACAGAAACGTCCGTTCCCCGGCTTACCCTGAAGTCCGCCTGCAAGTTCCCGCTCAAAACGGTCTCTTTGTTCAATGTGAGGACCGTCACGGAGAAACTCGCACTCTCATTCCTCACCGGGTAGTCTTTCCCTCTTAAGGTGGCTCCAAAACTGCCGCCGTGAGCTTCCGCCCCTCCACCCGCCGCCGCCATTCGCCCACCGTTCACGGTGAACCTCAGCCTCTTCTTGATGGTGAAGCTGTCTTCGACCTTGGCGCCGAGGAAGTAGTTGCCGCCAAAAGAAGTCAGAGAAACACCACATCCTGTGATGTTGTGCTTCAGATTCTTGACTTGAACGCTGCTGTGTACCGAGCAGATCGGGACTTGCCCTGCGGATTGGATATCCAGACCCACAACAGATGAAACGGGCCTGCCCGGATCCATATAAGCAGCGGTACACTCGGATTGAGTGCTGAAGTCCTGTTTGTCTTTCCTCATTTGTCCATTGGCGGTCGCGACAACGTTTTTTGAAACTTTTCTGGTGGTCTCGAGATTGATCCCGTCAAAGCTCACGTCATTGTCCCACCCATGGGGATCAAGAACCGGTCTTGCAACCCATTGTTCACTAGTAGTTGTGAGGGACCTGTATCTATGTGTGAGCCAATCCGAGGTGAAACTGGGTGGAATATCCATATCGGGCAACAGAACGGGGTCCGTTAGTTCTGCCCGCCCGTCCTGAGAACTCCTTGATGCTTCCTTCATCTGTTTTTTCAAGTAAAGGGTTTCCCTGAAATCTAATTCATCCAGATAATCGTTCTTTTCCCCAGGACTTAACTGTTTGAACTGAGCTTTAGTCAGAATCCGAATAGGAGGCAAATCATCATACTCATCCTCTTCATCAACTAAACCTTGTGTTTCATCATGTGTTAGCTGAGCACGATGCTTAAGAAAAGACGATAGAAGATGCGGAAGTGAAGGCAACCGAGTGACTTTAGGCGGGCCCAGTTGTATACTATCCTCAAAGTCAAACGCATTATTAACATCGCCGAGAACTTTGGTACATATGCATGTTAAGAAGAATTGGACCATCCAAACGCTTCCATTGGGGAGAATCTGCTCACCTGAATCATTGGTCTTGCAGTTAGGATGATTCTCCACCAAAATCACTGGGTTTTGGAGTTTCGGGTCAGAGACTGCCAGGTGAATGTGATGTTGAATGAAACTCGTGCAGCGGGCAGTGTAAGACTCGAAGGTGACCGGGTAACCAAGAGGACCTTCGGGCAGAGGGGAGGAAGAATGGGTCATCACAAGGATGGTGTTGAACCAAATAGAAGTGCCAAAGACTTCCGTTACAAGTTTTAATAAAGGGAAATCACTATAATAATCTCCTGTGTTGATCAAATCCAGCCGTTCAAAATATAACACCATATCAGGAGGGTTCTTTCTTATGTATCTCTTCACGTTGTTCAAAACCTTCCGGTTCCTCCGGGCATTACTAAGGGAGGAAGGCAACAATCCTGGGGTATCGATGAAAGAAATATTGATTCCCTTTACGGTTTCGGTAATTTCGTGGACATGAGTAGTCTCCGGATGAAATGCATTCGATGTGGCCTTACTTTGATCAAATATGGAATTAATCGTTGAACTCTTGCCAACTCCGGTTTTACCTGTTACAATATAAAAATAGTTAGTCTTACTTTTAGTAGTATTATGGTTTCCCCATTCTCATCACGAATGTTTGGAACACAAAACTGTAGGAAAAAAAGAAAAATGTTGAGACAGTTTTCTGAAAATTGTTTGGTATTCCATTGAACAAATATCTAAAATTGAGTTTAAACCATTTATTACTCCATATTTTTTTTCCAAACTTTTCTTTCCTTCCAAATGTCCCATCTAGTTTGCTTCCTATTTTCTTCCCGGGTTCCAAACATGCCCTTTATGTTTCTATTCTCATTGGTTTTGGCACATTATGTCTCTATATAAGCATTGTAAATTGTAATAGTCGATAAGAGATTTATCATGAAAATTTAAGTCAATTGTCAAATCAATAAAAGAAGTACTTTATTATATTAAACATTACCAAGTAAAAGCACTTTAAAGGAGAATCCCAAATCAGAGTGACCGAGAGCCGCCTCCCGTTCTGCTGCTACCTCTCTTGCTTTTCCAATTTGAAGATTGAATCTTTTTAAATCAGATTCCCTTGCGCGGATCATCGTGGCCAAGTGGGTCCGGTATAAAACCTTTGACACCATGATATCGTCTTGTGGCAACCCGAGCCGGTGAAGAACACGCAAAAACTTGATTTGAAGATTTTCAATTCTAGCTATTGGATTTTTCTTGTCAATGTCGATGCTAGTCGGCTGAGAAGAACTTTCAATGAAGAGTTGATGTGGAGGTAAGAACTGGTTGTGGCTATCTGGATTACTATTGTAGGATGAGTATGAAGTGTCGGCAGATGCTGGTAATGTAACTACAGTAGCTGAAAATTGAAAAAGAAAAATGCCAAATGGAAATGTGGCACGCAATCAATATGCTTTTCTTTTTTTCTTTTTAAATATAAATACAATTTCTCTGCACGAATTGTTCAACAAACGAATACCAAATTCACAACAGTGTTTCTTCTAATGTCTATAGTTGCTAATGTGACAAATGCAGCTAACATTTCACTTTGCTGCTTTGAACTCAAGGTCAAACCACATGGGGGCCTAAGCCCTTTTTGGTTGGGGGATTTGACGCAGCGTGCAGTGATAAGATATTTTACTTTAAAATGAACAAAGATATAGGACAAAAATATGACCACTTAAGTGCCCAACGAGGCAAACTTGCAACCATTGCAATGGGCAGACTTTCAAATTTATGCTTTTCATTGATAGATAAGACAAGAGAAATATACCTTGGTTTTCATGCTCTTCATTAGACATTTCCCGTGACAAAAAGCTTTCTGATGTTAAGGGTAGTTCTGCTAGTGTCCTAGACACTAATTGAGATAAGACCCAATCCTTGAAGCTCATCATGCCTTCGATCATAATTGAAAAATAAGAATGACGCAGTCAGATTAGTAATGAACTTTTATCATCAATTCCTCTTGATTCATATTGCATATTAATACAATAAAAGAAAACTTTTGAAAGTTCTACAAAAGATAAATCTAATGAAATAATTTTTATACTAATATCCATTACTATTTTTATTTAATTGAGGTCCAAAGTTCATCGAGTTTAACTCAAAAAAGTCAAACATGACGAATGGACTGGGACGGAGGTAGTAATTTATAATGTGTTAATTAGTACAAGAGTTAAATAACGGAAACACTTGAAAGTATTTTAAGGTGTAAATACGAAATACAACTCCTAAAGGCAATCCTAGAGCATGCAGTGGAGATAGATTGATTATCTTTAGTTACTGCCCATCTGCATGCATATATATATATATATATATATATATATATATATATATATATATATATATATATATATAGTTCTAAAATTGATGGCACAAAGCCTAAAAGTTAAAATGCAACTATTTGTTCACCTGGTTACATTAGTACTCCAAAATAAGATAACAAATCAATAACTCATAGAAAGAATAAAACTATGAAAGAAATCCATTCTTGTCATTGAGAATAACCAGCCAAACACCAAGCTCTCTAAAACCCTCCATAAACCCCCATCCAAATGGACCCTAAGGCAATTTTCTACCAAACACCCAATTGGATAAGCACATTGTAGACAAAAATATTCCATGTTCATCTACTAAATTGAACCTTTTGTTTTTGTAGAAGCTTCAAACAGAGCCATTCTTGCTAAAATGTTCTCCATCTCCACTTACCACCGCTATTCATTAATCGTTCTATTCACCAATGTAGTCAAAACACAAAAGCACCTAGGACTTAGGCGGGAACTAATTGGGATTAGACGATGCTTAAACAACAGTATGTACGTAGGCTTTGTGCGTGGACATGTATTAATCAGCACTACTTGGGGTTTTTTAAGGCAATGCCATTCATTCGCTTGTGTTACTTCAAAAGAGTGAACAGACCCCCCCCCCCTCCCCCTTGGAGTTCATAAGAACAGAAAAATACCTGAACAAAACAAGACATAACTCATTTATACCTAAGAATTGAGGACCAGGAATGTAAATATCTAAGAATTGGGGACTGAATACGGAAAACCAAATTTACTCTAATAACAACAACAACAACAACAACAACAACAACAACAACAACAATAATAATAATAACAATAATAATAATAATAATTCAGAGAATGATATAGAAGAAAGTGAGTTCTGATTTTTTACCTGCTTACAAAAAAAGGCTCTAATATCAGTTCCAAAGTTGAAGTTTGGATCGGAAACAGGAGCTGGAATCGCCGGAAAATTGCTTCAGGAAGAAAGAGCGATTGAATGGGATGAAATGAAGGGTATAACAAGAAAAACAGAGAGCAATTTCTTAGGGAAATCAGCATAAATTTCTGAAAAATTGGAAGGAAATAAGTGAAAACAAAGTTCAGATATGGATTGATTCAGAGTGGGATACAGCGAGAGAAGATTATTTTGTCATTCCAAGAATTCTGATGACACACAAAACGACGACGACGAAGGATTCCTCCTAGCCCTTCCATTGAAACCCACTTTTTCCCCAATTTGTCATTTTCTCAAGTGTTTTTTGGAGGAGTGTTGCTAAATTAAATCCTTTTTTTTCTTTTTCCTATACTATATTTTAACGGAAAATGCTAAGGTGCCACTACATGGGTGCTACCATGAATGCACCCATGCTTCGCACAGACAAACACAGACGATAATTGTCTGTATCGCACAGACAATTATCGTCTGTGTTTGTCTGTGCAAAACATGGGTGCACCCATGGTAGCACTCATGTGGTGGCACCCTAGCATGGTCCTATTTTAACTCGTGCTATATATGCGGTGAAACGATTTTTTTTAATCTTATATTTACTACATCATTCTTCAAATATCGAACAAAATAAAACATGAACCTTACAAACTTAAATAATGATAAGGGGTTAATAGCATGGGCACCCCCTGTGGTTTACAAAAAGGGTGTCAAAACTCCCCTGTTTTCAAAAGTTATTTGTAAAGTCCCTGTGGTTTCTAAATAGAGCACACATGCCCCCTTACCTATTTTTAAAGCAAAAATGACATTTATGCCCTTTGTTTTCCCCGATCTTGATTTTTTCTGATTTTAATTTCCTTTATTATACAAATATATAAAATAAAATATATGATTCCCATCTCATATTAGAATTTTTCATAATGTACTTTTGAAAACAAAATATTTTTTGGAGAATGTTACAAAAAAATGAAAAATAAAATATTATATACAAAGTAAAAAGTAATGACAGTTAAAAAAAGTAATGAAAAGAAATAAAAATATAAAAATAGTCTTTTTCTTTAACTCCTTAATTTAAAAATGAAATATGAAGAACAGAAAGATGAAATAAAATATGGGGTTAAAGAAAAAGACTATTTTTTATATTTTATTTCTTTTCATTACTTTTTTTAACTGTTATTACTTTTTACTTTGTACATAATATTTTATTTTTCATTTTTTTGTAACATTCTCCAAAAAATATTTTGTTTTCAAAAGTACATTATGAAAAATTCTAATTTGAGATGGGAAGCATATATTTTATTTTATATATTTATATAATAAAGGAAATTAAAATTGGAAAAATTCAAGATCGGGGAAAACAAATGGCATAAATGTCATTTTTGCTTTAAAAATAGGTAAGGGGTGCATGTGTGCTCTATTTAGAAACCACGGGGACTTTACAAATAACGTTTGAAAATAGGGGGGTTTGACGTCCTTTTTATAAACCACAGGGGGTACTCATGCTATTAACCCTAATGATAAGACATATAATATTTGCTAATGAAATATGTACAATATACATTTGAAATTTAAACGTCGAAGACTTTTTTAAATTTAAACATTTTGGAAAATTTTGAGGTATACAATAAACTTTTGTGATGTTATAAAGATTATCAAAGACATTTAAAATTAATACCTTGAACTTTAATTTTACTATTACTTGTGAAACAATAATATAAAATTAATCGTAAATGAATACCGATTTGGTAAAAAAATCATATAAATGATATTGATAATGTTTAACCTTAACTTTATTCATAATCATAACGAAACATAAACTATTAAAAATTACATTTTTTAAAAGTTCAAGGGTAATTTAGTATGAAATGATGCATAATTTATTTAATTTGGGCTATGTAAATATTTCTACCACTTTATTTTCTAATACAATAATTATGTGCCGAATATAATATTCACAATACTTTAATGGGTAACATTATACGATTTCACATTTTAGATGGTTGGTCAATGCTCATCAATAGCATAACGGGTATAAATTTATCTAATTAAATTACGTTGTGGTTTAAGATTCACAAATATTTGTTTATATCATAAACTCAACTACTATAATCGTCATTGATGAGAAAAATTAAATATATTAATTATCAAAAAAATTGTTTCATCTTCTATCATTAACTAGACTCGTACTCGTGCGTTGCACGAAAAGAAAATTTATTTTAAATTAACATGCAATATTTTTAAGAATTAAAGAGTATTTCAAAGAGCGGGACTAATTTTAAATTATTCCATAGTATTAGAAAAGACAAAAGTATTTTCAATTGGCATTGGAGCTAGTAGGCTTACTTTGCTAGCCTATAACGATCAAAAATCACGGGAGACATGGTGGAAGGAGCCAATGTTCAAAGGCCACCCTTGCTACGTGGTCACAATAAAATTTACATATTTAAAAACTATATGAAAAGATATGCTTTCTCCGTCCCACAAAATTTTTATCCTTTTTTCTTTCATTCGTCCTAAAATTTTTTTATCATTTCTATTAAAAAACACTTTTATCCCTACTAATTATTAACCTACCTATCACATCACACTTTTTCATCACATCCAAAAGTATTTTTAGAAACTCAACACCAAAATACACTCTCTTAAATCTTTTATAAATCAAAACCAGAAAACGTTTTGTAGGACAGAAGTAGTATAAAACTAGATGTGACATGACTATATTATTTTATTAAATGAACAACAAAACTCGTTAACAAAGTGAATAAAACTTAATCATGTGAATAGTGAATAGAAATATTATTATTGGAGGGAGGGAGTGTGGATGGAGGAAAAACTGAAAAAGAATAAGCATAGTGTGAAAACTAAAAACAAAAACGTCATTGTATGCGTATTGAGAGGAAACCTATAGACTTTTTTTCTTTCTACCCCTTACACCAACCCTTTCATATATATTCCATGTGTCCCCAATTTGATTATAAATTGAGATTTACGAAAAGAAACATCTCAATATTTGAAAATCATTTTATTTACATGTCGGTGTATGGATAAGAAACAAAAATTACATAGTAAAAAACTAGAATATTTTGTTTAATCAAATATTTAATGAAATCGCGTAAACAAACCAACGTTACGTTATCGAGAGAAAAATAAAAAATGGAATCAAATTGGTGGAGGCTATATATATATATATATATATATATATCACACCAATGAGGGAAACCAAATTAAAGTCTTTATTCATTTTAAATATTCTCATTAAAAAAAGAGTGAGAGAGAAGAAAAAAAAATGCAGGGTCGTCTTTCGCTTCTTCGCTCATGTGCAGCTGCGTTCTTCTTTGTGATGCTCTTCATGACCACCAGTTTGCCCTCTGGTCCGCTTCACTTCCTTTAATGTTTCATCTTTTTCGATGGGAGTATTAGTTTATGTTTAATTTACTACCACCGTCTCATATTCCGCTATAAGACTTAGGTCACGTGATGTGATTGATTGATTCTGATATAGTAAGAATACGTTCTGATTTGAACTGATTTGAATGACGTTATACCTAAAACTATTTTTGATCTGATCTAGTCTAATTCCAAAAAGAATAAGTAATAAGTAAAAAACATAAGTTGAGAAGAACATAACTTTTGATTATACTCCCTTCGTCTTAAAAAAATCTTCATGTTTACTATTCATTGTATCAAACTTTAAACATTGTTTTCATTGGAGTACGTTTCATGAATCCTATCTTTTGTAAAAAGTTTTATGAGACAAAGAAATTAAAGTATATTCTTAAATGAGTGCAAATTAAATACTCCCTTCGTCCCGGAGTATTCGTCCACATTTGACTTTTGGAACTGTTCATCTAAGGACTTTGACTCATCAAATTCTCTCAATGTGTAAGCCTAAATATAGTCATGTGTGATCTTGTTTGATTTGTCTTAACATATAGATTATTAAGATATAATTTCTATAATTTTTTAATATACAAATTACAAGATAAAATGGATTAAAGAAATACATTGGATGGTGTATAAAAATGAAAGTGGACAAATACTCTGGAACGGAGGGAGTATGGTATATATATACGGAGTATATGTATGTATGTATGTATATGTATATGTATATGTATATATATGGGTGGTCGCATGCAGAGATGGGAGGTGGAACAGTGAAGATGATGGTGGCTGCGGTGTGCAAGCAGAACTCTGACTGCTATCAGGTTTGCGGTTTCGGTTGCCTTAGCCCCAAATGCTATGGCGATAGATGTCAGTGCTTTTAATAATTAATTACGGAAAGAGGCGTGTGCCCAAGTGCGGTTACGTTCTATGGAAATAGTGACGTACTCTTTTAATTAGTTTGGAGTAGGTGATTCTCCAGACTTTAATTTCGTGTATGTGATCATATTGGGTTAGTTGTTCGCAACAATGTTGTTGTTGTTGTTGCTGCTGCTGTTACGGAACTTTGTTACAAGTGTCGAGCGTAACTATAAAGCTCATTTGGAGTTTTCTATGGCTGTTTCACATATATATGATTGTAATAATAAAGAAAGTCGAACCGTTTATGGGCACTCTTTATCATTTTGATACAAAATTGTGTCCTTCACTTTTTGTTTTAGGAAATTCTTTACATATGCTTGGCTTTTCATCCATGAATAGGTACACTTCTCCAATGTGTTCTTGCCCCAAAATATCATTCAAAGTTTCAATTTCCAAAATCTATTGATTGATCGGTGTTATTTATATTCAGTGATAACTACAAAAAATATAATTAACACTCTCCACTTTGTTATTGTTAATAATAATTTTTATGCGATTTCAAGTTGGAAGTTACACATATTATGCTGAAAACGGACTAGTTAAATAAAAATTTCGTTTGGCATTTGAAAATGGCAAATACTTTTTAATGTTAAATTTACAGACTATGGATCGCGCGACCCATTTACAAATATTTTCAGAGTAACGCGGAAGCACAATAATAATCAAATCATGACAGATTTAAAATCCTGACGATCGAACATTTGCCTGTAATCCTTGCACTATGAGATTTGCCCAGTTTGTACGACGAACTCACGCCACCTTAGTCTCACGAATGAGACTAGAAACAAGATGAGAGTGGTACTCAAAATGCTTGAATACCATGTACGTACACTAAGTTCGAACTTGTGATGCCGACTGCTAAGTCCCGCACAATCACGCTATAAGAGACGCACGGGGCATGATCTCTTAGGCATGCATATGATGTGTTATGCTTTCAATATAAATGATGAGTAATTTTATAAACAATTTGTAAACAATATGAATATATAATCATGTATGGGTTTATTGGATTGGAACATCATTAAAGTGTCAATTTGATTAAATCAGAGAGCAATTTCTTAGGGAAATCAGCATAAATTTCTGAAAAATTGGAAGGAAATAAGTGAAAACAAAGTTGAGATATGGATTGATTCAGAGTGGGATGCAGCGAGAGAAGATTATTTTGTCATTCCAAGAATTCTGATGACACACAAAACGACGACGACGAAGGATTCCTCCTCGCCCTTCCATTGAAACCCACTTTTTCCCCAATTTGTCATTTTCTCAAGTTTTTTCAAAATGTAATTACTCTTTTTTAATACTAGTAAATTAACATTTTTTCATTCATTCTAAATTCAATGAATTTCCTCTATCCCAAATTGGATATTGTTTACTAATTAAATTATCACCATACGTAGTACTTTAAGACATTCAATATTACATATATAGCACTCCTTATTGTTTTTCACACATTTGACTATTTATAGAGTGGATCTCTTACAATCATACGTACCTTTTATTATAATGGAGTATTTTAATTAATTCATTGGCCAAATATCTCTGGTGCCCCCAGTAATTTGAAAAATTGGCACCAATATCCCTTCTGTTTTCAAAATTTATTTCTAAAGTCCTCGTGGTTTAATTTCAAAACGTTACACTCACACCCCCTCTGATCATTTTCCGGTCATTTTCCAGCGAAGATGGGGCATTATTGGCGCATAATTTCTAAACCTTAGGGGGGCATTCCTGCTCATTTCTTATATTTGTTTATTTTTTTTGTTTTCCCTTTATTTTTTAAATATTTTCTATTTCTTTTTCTTTTTCCTAGAATTTTTTTAAAAAAATGTATTTTCAGTTTTTTATAATGTTCTAAAAATTTTAAAATTCTTTGTGTTTGAAATAAAAATAAAAAAATTAACATAGATTACATTAAACATTTTCACGTTTTGTTACTTAGAATAATTTTTCGGAAAGTTAGAAAAACCCAGAATAAAAAATAAAAATCTAGAAAAAGGAAATGAAAAAAATAAAATACGCAAAAAAAAGTCTTATACAAAAAAAAGTTGGACACGCCTAAAAAAGTCCTTAGAATTGAGATGTCAAAAAAGGATATTCATTTTATTTTTGTATTATTTTTTCTTATTTTATTCCTCATTTTTTTGAAGTGCTCAAAAAAATTTACTTTTTTTCAGAAAAAAATTGTTAATTTGAGACGTACATATGAATTATATGTTAATTTTTTGAAACAAAAATAAATTTAAATTTTAAGAACATTATAAAAATAATTTTAAAAAAACCTTTATTAATAAATGAAACAAAAAAGGAAAAAATGGAAAAAACGAAAAATAAGCGAGAAATAAAAATAGCACTGATAGCACCTATGATTTAAAAAATATGCACCAATGTCTTCCTTCTTCAACAAAAAAAATGGCCAGAAAATGATCAAAGGGGGCACGGGTGCAACATTTTGAAACCACAGGAATTTTCGAAATAAGTTTTGAAAACAGAAGGAGTATTAGTGTCTGTTTTGCAAACCACGAAGGGTACCAGCCCTATTTGGCCTTATTTCATTTACCATATTTATTGAGATCCATAATTTTAGGAGGTTATTCTCATTCCTTGCACGTTCATAGCACTTAGAGCAGTCGTGCCACTCGATCCTAACTGTTTAAACACATTTAATAAACAAAATTGAAAGTGCATATCAACTTTTTTGGTAGTGTGGAATAATAGTCATGTTATGTCTACACTTTCTATCAGTGTGTTTGCCCTATTTTGGACAATGTGTTATGGTTCACAATACTTAACTACACTCTCTAATAGTGTGTTATGCTCATGTTCTGAAACTCGAAGTTGACCAAACCCGAAATGACCCGCTAAAAATGGGTCAAACCCGACCGAAACTCGAACCCGACCTGACCGACCAGCTAATCTAAGATTTTTTCAGAATCATACATTTTAATATGAAATATAATGTTATAAAAATAAGATTGTAATTATATTTCTTTGCTTACTACTCATTTTTTGTGTATAGATTTATATATCATAACAAATTTTAATGATGTCACATAATTATCTTACATTTTTTCAAAAATTCTACATATTTAATTTTTTTATTCGTAATATTGACACTAAGTAATAAAAATTACTTAAAATTTCAAAAAAATAAATAAATGAAACTCATAACCCGTTGGGTCAACCCGAACCTGATGATACTGGGTCATGAAAATGTAGTTATCAATCCGAACCCGAACCCGACCTGACCGACCGATTTGTCATATCTAAAATTTATCAATTCAAATTGCAAAAAGTTAAACTCCGACAAATATAGTGTGAGGAATATACTTGTGGTCGTATATATATATATAGAACGAGTGCCAAAGACCGAAAGAGCTCCCTCACCAAAGAGGAAAATATTATCAAAGGTTTCCCATTATTTGTTCTCAACAAAAAGAGGGAAATAAATAAATAAATAAATAAATAATGGGTCCTTCTTCTTCTTCATCTTCATCTTCTTCTTCTCTTATGGGGTCATATGCAGCGTTCTTCTTTATTGTGATGCTCTTCATCGGCGGCTCTTTTTCTGGTCAGCAGCTGCTTCTATTCTATTCCTTTTATCATTCATTTTCTCCTAACTTGTGGGAGTTATTTTACCCGGGGGGTGTATTTCTTATATGCTCCACCCGTCTCTATTTTGATTACAAAATGGAAATTACGCGGTAAAATTCTACGATTTTTTGAAATCATTTTGTTTATAAATTGGTACTTAATAGAAAACAAAAATTACATATTAAAAAACTACGTCTAAAGTTTTACAAAACAAGGATGACATGAATGTTTTGTTTTATCAAATAATCAATGAAAACACACAAATAAACCAAAAATTATCGAGGGGTGAGAGAAAAAATAAATAAAATTGTAATCAAAATAGGGACGGAGGGAGCATATTCAATGCATATCCTACTCTCGAAATATACTCCCTCCATTCCATAATTATTTTTTTTCTTTCATATTCAGATTCTCTCAAAAAAAAATCATGTTTAGATACGTTTGAAGAAAAAAAAAGTGTGATTCACATCGATCATTTGCCTTTCTTCTACACAAATTAGAAAAAATACACATTATTGTACTTTATCTCATGAGTCATGTCAAATCAAATTGATTAAAATTTTTGAGACGGAGTAGAATTCATTTTTGATCAAAAGACTTGAGCTCTTTGTAGAGAAAATAAAAACTACTCCCTCCGTCCCAAATTATTTGTAACGTTTGCTTTTTCAGCAGTTGCGGGAATTTTTGTTTATTTCTACATTTTCTTTGGTTATTTGATAAAATAAAATATTCTTGACACCTCCTATTTCGAAGAACTTTTCATATATTTTTTTGATATGTAAATTTTATTTTTTATTTCTATACCAATATGTAAATAAAATGAATTGAAAAAACTTGATATATTTGCCTCGGGAATACAAGTGTGGCTGTTAAAAAGAGTATCCCACATCGGAACTTGGAAAGAAAATAAACCGGTATATAAGCCCTTGAGTTGAACTAACTAATCGATTGAATTCAATCTTTTAATGTGGTTCAACCCAAGTGTCTTATTGCCCAATCCAGTTGTCCATACACATCCTAAATTCTATCATGGTATCGGAGCAGGTTTTGCCCACCTCGTTTGTCAAGGTGTCCGTCTAGACGTTCATTCCTAGCGGCCCGTTAGTCTTTAGCCCAGTTGTCCGTATGGAGTATGTACCCAACGGCCTGTGGCCCATTTAACCTGATTGTACGTCTGGAAGTCCATACTCAGCATCTCGTGGCCCTTTAGGTGTTGGCGCTCAAAAAAAATCAGGGGGATGTGAGTCCATTTGCAAGTGGTCAACCGGTTAGATTCAAAATGGCCCGGTTGTCCACTTGAGTGTTAAAAAGAGTATCCCACATCGGAACTTGGAGAGAAAATAAACCGGTATATAAGCCCTTGAGTTGAACTAACTAATCGATTGAATTCAATCTTTTAATGTGGTTCAACCCAAGTGTCTTATTGCCCAATCCAGTTGTCCATACTCATCCTAAATTCTATCAGTGACAAATGTTTAGGGACGGAGGGAGTAATTAAGAGAGCTAGGATAACCCCAACATTTTGATACTATTCGTGACCCCAAATTTTACACAAACACGAATTGTCAGCTGCTCTCTCCGTCCCTGAAAACTCTTCTTGTTTTGAGTTTTTTTTTGTTAAACTGAGACTCTTTAACCTTAATTTAAGCATATTTTGAATAAATAAATGTTTAAAAAAATTTGATATATCAAAACTATATCCTAAGGTGAAATCAATTTTATTAAATTTATATTATAAATTAATATACATTTCTCACTATTTGAACCAAAAATAATCAAAAGAGGGAGAATTTTCGGAGATTTTGCGGCACAGACAACAAGTGTCTGAAAAGTTTGGGATAACAATAAGCTCAAAATGTTGTGATGATCACAAAAGCACTGAGTCATTAATTAATTAATGGACCATGCTAGGGCACAACCACATGGGTGTCGCACAAACAATTATCGTCTGTGTTTGTCTGTGCGAAGCATGGGTGCACCCATGGTAGCACCTATTTGGTGGCACCCTAGCATTTTCTTAATTAATTAGGTAAATAAAATGAGTTGTGTGCAAATTAAAGAATTAATTATATATATATATGTGTGTGTGTGTACAGATAAAAAAATGGTGGGGGCGGAGGGGCCGTCGGGTTGCGAGTCAGGAGGGACAACACACGGGGCATGCACTAACGACGGCGAGCGGGGATTGTGCGACACGCTATGCAGGGCCCTACCGGAAGGTCACTTTAAGGGCGGCCAGTGCTCCGACGGCCTTTGCGTCTGCGTATGCTTATCTTAATTAATTATTAATTCCTACCTTAATTGAGATGGTTGATGTGAATACATTTGTTTGTTTCAATGGAGTACTAATTATTGTTGTAAACTAGTATTTGTACCCGCGCCACGCACGGGTTCAGACAAAAATATTTTCGATTCTACAATGTGGATTTGGATTTTTCTTTGGTATATTATTTAAAGGTCAATATGAATGATCTAGATTTGATATAATTCTACAAATCTATAACCTTTCTCACTGTATAAAGTTAAAAATACTCCCTCCGTCTCAAAAAGAATGTCACGGTTACTATTTTGGTCTTCTATAACTTTTGTTTGTTTACTCGTTTTGGTTGACCGTTTGCTAAAATAAAATATTCTTGTCGCTCGCATCTTGTTTTGTAGAACTTTTCATATACTTTTGAATGGTGTAATTTTTACTTTTTATTACTCCACCAATTTGAAAATATATTGATATTAAAAGAGATGATATTTTGCACGTCGCTCGAAATGTTGCAAATAATTTGGGACGGAGGGAGTATATTAATAAAAAAAGTATTAGTGATCCAATGATTCTTTTTCCTCATATTAATTTTAAAAACCTAAATTACCGACCTTATAATTGTATACTCCATCTGTCCTTGAGTATTTCTTTACTTGATTTTTTTGTCAAAAATGGTAAATCTTGATCTCTAATTAAATAAAAAGGATATTATATATTGATACAAAATTAGTTTTATTTGATTTATTATATCATTCATTTTCAAAACATTATTTTATGTATTTAATCATAAGTCAAATGTTAAAAATAGTAATATCGGAAAAAGTCAAAACTAGACAAATACTCAGGAACGGAGGTAGTAATTATAAAATACTCCCTTCGTTCCAGAAAACCTTTCTCCTTTCTTTTTTCATGCATCCCAAAAAACACTTCTCATTTCTATTCAAAAGTCACTTTTACCCCTTACCACTACAAGAAAACTGTCAATCTTCCACGGACAATTTCCGTTGCAGAATTTGAAATTCCGTGGTAGATTTATATTCTGCGACGGACCTGTTACGAACATTTTTCGTCGCATAAAAGTTATGGCAGATTGAAAATCTGCCACGGAATTGAAAGTTGTTAGACAATAAAACTAATATTACTTCTGGTAGTATTGGTTATGATAGTGTTTCATTATTAGTCAGCTTCCTAATCCTATTTGTAGTAGATGTTGTATGTTAGCTAGTTTCCATTCTCTATTCCTAGTTGTGTTAGGAATCTCTCCTATATATACTCTATCATGTATTCCATAATTAAGGGAACAATATTATTATTCCAATATTTCGACATGGTACCAGAGCCACCGCTCTTGGTGACCTAAAAGAGTTCTTTGCTCCCACCGCCGCCGCCGGTAATTCCGGCGACGGCGGCTCCACCCTATTCACCTCTATTTTCTTTTCCTTCTTTTATCGTCAAATTAATGTCTCCATTCAAACGAAAAAAAAGGAAAACAACCTTGTTGAAATTAATAGGAAGACTCCTAATATTATTTAGTTTCCTTATTCTTGTATTACCATAATTACTTTATTCCTTTCCTACTAGGAATAGGACTCTCTCTTGTAATCCCTATATATAGGAACATATCTCTCAATATTCAATAAGACAAATTATTATCAAATTGTATCATGGTATCGGAGCCTAGGTTTAAACCCTAGCCCTTTTTTTCGAGACTGTGCCTTCACCGCCGGTCTCCTTCCTCTCGCCGGTCGACCATAAACGGCAACCATGGCTCAATCTTCAGATCCGCTTGCTTCGCTTTCCGCAATCTCCATAATCTTATCCCAGAGAAGCTCACTTATTCAAATTATCCTGCATGGTCATTGTTCTCCTATATGTTGATGACATCATTATTACAGGGAGCTCCTCTGACCTCATCTTTGCTGTTACTCAGGCTATGCATAAAAATTTTCGCCTCAAAGACTTGGGCCCCCTGGATTTCTTTCTTGGCATTGAGGTTCGTCGCTCTGCGGATTCTATCTTGCTTCATCAGACAAAATACATATTTGATCTTCTTCAGCGGGCTGGCATGACTGATTGCAAACCCACTGTCACTCCGATGGCGGCGCGGCCAACCCAGGAGATCTCGTCCACCTTCTCCGACCCAAAATTGTTCCGTAGCCTTGTGGGTGGTCTACACTATCTTGCGGTGACTCGCCCTGATATTCAGTATGTTGTAAATCGAGTTTCTCAGACCATGCATAATCCTACAG